TACAGGGAAACGGATCTAGGCGGTTTTGTCCAGGCCGACCTTGGATATTCGTATCAGGCTAAAACGGCGTCCAACAAGTAAGCCTCCAGAAGCGTGCATTTAGACAATTCAAAACTTCAAGCTTTCTACAACGACAAGGCAGAATACGGAAGAGCGGTCTGGCAGCCGCGGCTGAGGACAGATCTCATCGCCTTGGAGATACCCCAACGTCGAGCAGCTAACAATGTCAAAGGTTTGTACCATTTATCGCATGAACGAAGGCTTCGAGTGCTCAGAGTGTCCAGCGTAAAATATCGGCGATTGCATGGAACTTACATTTTGACCTAGCAGAATTTCGGAGATCAAAACCACACGTGTTGGCATTTGCTGAGGCTCAGTCAAAATATAAATGTGAGCGACCATCATCTAAATCCAGCAGAGCAGTACAGTCGTTTGGAATCGCATCAAAAGTACTTTTCTGTAAGCGTCTGTAAAGCGTGTAATGTTCTAACAGCCGCCTTCATGTGTGCTCCCACGCAGGCTGGCTTGCCGAACTACCTCCTCATGGTGCCAGCTGGGTTTTTCGGGATTATCCCGTTCCAGCGAAAGGTTCGGCGGCAGTGTTTCAGAAGGTGAGAGTTTTCTCCTGGCATGCGTTCTTCCTATAAAAGCCAAATATGCCCGTTTCACAACACTGCGACGTGGCGCATGTGACTCGCCACTAAATAAATTCATTGCTCCTTGCTTCAGCTCGCTGGAACATTGTAATCCTTCAGCTTGACGCTGAATTACTGGGAGTATTGGCCCCTGTTTGGCAGCCAGCCAAACGAAAGGCGTATGAATCGAGAAACCGGTCACCGGCTCTGGATGGGCGCGGTTCCCTGAATTCGCCCCGCTGCCTTGCTGGTCAGGTCCCTATGACAAAAGGCTGCGGGTAGGGCCCCCTAAGTGAACTCCTTCCTCGCCCTGGGCGAGTATGCCTACACAACACATGAAAGGATGGATTCACTGCTCTCAACTCACGTTTCTCGCCCTTTGAACTATTTTTCTTTGGCCGAGATGCCGGCGGCCGGGCATGCGAAACCTCACTATACCGCACCGCAAACCACGTTGTTCGTTCCACGTTTATTCACTCCTCCTGTTCTTGTCATCCTCCCTCCAATTTCTAGTCTCCCAAAGTGCATTGCAGCTAAACACGGTACCTTTGGCCTCATCAATGAACCGCTCAAAACCGAGCGCACACATTCCAATACGAACAGCAACGCGTTTATTACATCTCACTCGCTATTCAAGCTAGCTGAGTTCAATGTTCGAACGCCCATGCAGATTGGTTCACAAGCTGCTCTTGCGCGCACCTTGGAAACCCTCTCAATCGAGGTTTGCTGCCTAACCAAAACCCGTTTACAAGACTCCAGCACAACGCTGCGATTGCTCTCACCATCCCCAAGTTTTAATTGCACATTCATCTTGCGCTTATCTGGAGATGCGACAGCGGCAGCCTCTGGTTGCGCCGGCGTAGGAGTTGCGATAAGCGCGCGTGCTGAGGCAGCGCTCATTGACTGGTTCCCGGTCAACCGCCGTCCTTTTGCAATCCGTTTGGAAAGCTCAGTGCGATCTTCCAGCCACGGGACCAGTAGGCGATGCTTAGCAATTGTCGATGGGCACGCTCCTACGGACTGCAGCCCGGACGAAGCTAAAGACGAGTTCTACCGCCAACTCACCGACCTTCTTCGCAAGAAACGCCGCACGGACATCGCGATACTCACCGGAGACCTAAATGCGCAGGTCGGTACACTAGAGGTTCATGAGCTCAAACTAGGGGTCAACACAGAAACGGGACTGGCAGGACGGACAACGGCGATCCATTCCTTCAACTGTGCGTTGACCACGGCTTGTCCCCCTCCAGCACCAATTTTAGACGTTCCTGACGCCAACGAGCCACCTGGAGACCTCAGGCACCTGGTCAAGCTTGGACGCAGATTGACCACATCCCTGTCAATTACCCTTGGCAAAGCTGCATAACGGATTGCAAGTCAAGTTGGTACACTTACCTGAGTTCGGATCATGCGCTCGTGTGTACTAAGTTCGTTCTGCACTTTGGAAACACCCAACAGCTTCTCCGGAAACGGCTTGACAAAGACAAGCACGCCGCCCCAAATGTTCTCGGTGCATTTCAGAACACATTATCCTCCAAACTGCATCCTCTATCCTCCGATGTTGAGACACACTGGGCACAGATCCAGAGCGCCTTACGAAAGTCCGCTACCCTGGCCTGTGGCATTACTAGACGAGCTGCTAGTCTATGGATCCCTGCACAGTCTTTTCAATGAATAGAAAGTCAGCAAACAATTCCCGTTGGAGTTGCGTACAACTCACTACGCAGAACCACAGGTGTTAGGCTCAGACAGCTCCTCAGGAAGGATCGCGAGGTTTGGCGGACACAGCGCGTCGTTGAGATGGAGCGGGAAGCCTCCTCAGGAAACTCCCGCAAACTCTTCTAACTTGCTCACTCCACGGGAAGGAGAAGGCAAACAGTGAGTGAGGTTTTGCGCAAAAAGGACGACGAACTATTTCACAGTCGCCACCGTCGTCTAGTACGGTGGGCATAGCAGTTTGAAGATCAGTTCAACTGGTCATCAGCACAACCAAATCCATCTTCCGGGATTCACAGTGCTCCTTGGTGCGTAAATGTTTCGCCACTAACTGAGGCTAAGGTTTCCTATGAGCTTCGCCTACTGAATCGCCACAAGTCACCTGGCTCATATGAAATTCCTCATGCCCTCTTCACATATGGGTGTTCTGTTCCCACTCGTGAACTGACATCACTCATCCATCAGATTTGGACTACTGAAACTCATCCATCCGACTGAAATTTACCGGATGTTGTACCTGTTTACAAAAAAGAAGACCGGACCATTTACTCCAATCATCGTGATATCAGCCTCATTTATGTCACATCCAAACTGCTCGCTGTCCGTACTTTGGCGGAAGTCCAGTTGGCCAAGGACCATACACACTGGAGCACTTGTTGTGAGACTTTTCTACCCTAACAGTTGTTTTCCCTCTCAATCTATCATTTTCCTCTTATGTGTTGCGACACTCAGCCAATTGTATTGTAATTGTTAGTCTTGATTATATATATATATATATATATCCACGTTGGTAGAATTCAATGTCCGAGTTGACCGTTCACTCATTTCGCTGCATTATCTCACAAGGCTCATTGTCGAGGACTAAAACGAGTGTCTCTCCGAAATTTCACTGCTGATCAACTCCCAGAATATGTTCCACTTTTCCTACCTCATGTATGTGTTCATTACCAGGAGGTGACATAATGTTTATTGACGTTCCATTTGTCGTCACAATTTATGGACTTGCAGTCGATGTACAGTTTTGATAATTATATATCGGTGAGTTCACCGGGCTAAACCCAGTTCTACCGGCAATTTTTCGAACTTTTTCCAAAGCAGTTATGAGTTTACTATCCGTATACAACCATTGTCACATCGTTCCATTGTCAAAAGCCTCTGAAACTCATAAGGATTATCAATAATATTTCCAAAATTTTCGCGTCATCTCATAGCTCAGCGTCACATACCTTGGAAGTTAGCCGTAAGTTGGAATCGATTGTATCGAAAATCGACACTGAGGGTCGTTACTTAGGCGTTATCTTTCCGCCGGAATCGGACCAACTGTTACTGCGTAAGAACGATCCGTTCAACCGGTCTAGCAATTATCATCTCTGACTACATACCTTAGATCAACCAGGAAGCGTCGAAGCGTACGAAGTTTGAAATGGTTTCCTCAATGTGTATCGGTGCCTTAGCATATCAATACTAAGTCGTAATTTTTGGTGACCTTAACGTCCACTATAAAGCAATGAATATATGCGAGTCCGAGAACAATGATGCCCTTACGCCAGTGGATGAATGCACTACCGATAAAGTAGTAACGGGATCCTCCTCTACTAAACGCAAACCTGATGAAGACTGGACCCACGTTCAACGACTCATTCCGGTAGTCGAATTTACAGAAGAATGACTCTTACAACTTACTTCACTCGAAATGGAGCAAAAGTGCTCAGTTACGTCACGAGGATTGACTGCGTATAAATGGATAGTCGTCTCATAGAGAAATTGCCAACTAAATCGAACCACATGACCGACCTGAAAAGATTTGATCACACCTCGGTTCGGGTCCACTTACCCCGCAGGCTAAACGCCAATCCATCCTAGACGTATCCTACGTCATATTCGCGCTTCTAGCCTCAATGGCAAAAGGATATTGATACTTGCCATTCATCACAGCCAGCTTCCAAATCAGACAGTCGTCTACATGCCAGGAAAAGCACTAGACTGCAGTTTCAGCCTGTTGGGCATCATCAGTAGTGCACATCCACCAGATCCATCAGGATTCGAACCCATGACCACCAGTGGCTTGCATCGCCAGTCAGCAGCTTATGCCACTGGGCCACGGGGCACAGCTACGGACCGTCAAAGGATATTGTGCTGACATTGACTTTTGTCTCGTTGCATCTGTCCACTTCTTCTTGTAGCCTCGCGTAGTCAGTTGTGGCCGAAATCGTTTAACTTCTTATGTCTGTGTTCGTTTGCGCACACTGTCTCGAACCAGTGTTTACTAGTCTCATAAATGTAACAGTAAGATGTAGCAAATGACTCCAAACATTCGCCCACCAACAAGGACATCAATCTTCGTTTTAACTATGATCACAAAATTGAATTATAAGCAAACGGATTACGACAAAATGGCATAGGGTGTTGGTAACTCTGGATAGAGCGAATGATTTAGGTGAATGTCTGGTGATAGGTTGGGCAATTAGCAGTGTCAGCGCGCAAAATGTAGCATGTTAAATAAAAATCCCATTTAGATTGCCACATGACCGCGAACGTATATAACCCAAAAGCCATAAGATTTTAAGTGAAATACATACTTTCTCAGTGGAATTACGCAGACAATCGGTAAGCTATAGAAACTTTTCGGCAAATTCTACTTGATCTCACCTTGGTACACCCATGCGAATGTTCAAAGAACCAGTTCCTGGTATCTGAGTTGGGTTCACCGCGTACCTAAATGGGCCATGCTCCAGTCCATGCGCAAAATTAGTGTTTGCACCCACGGTAGCGGAGTGGAGAGGATCAGGACTGATACTGATCGGGCCGAGGTTCGATTGCAACTGCGGAGAGTGGACTGGCGCATCATGCCGCGCTCCATGGAGCTGTCCAATCAAATTGGAGTGAGCACCTTGATCCAAAACCGGAGCTCTTGATAGTTCAATTCTGGGACCGGTCTGTGCACGAGAGAACAAAGTGAGTGCCAGGCATGTACTTAGACCTAACCCATAGAGAATAAAGGTAGAAGTCATCCAAATGTGGTGTCTATATGATTCATTTGTAGTAGGGCTTTAGATATGTAACTTAGAAATCGTAAGCACAGGTGAAGGACATCCTTTAACGGATTTTTAATGTCTACTTCCAAGAAGTGTTTTAGGCATTCAGTTGAGAGTGGTTTTTAAACTAAGTCTTAAGTGTATACTCATCACGATATTTGAGTAGCAAGCTAAAAGGAATCATTATGCACAAGAGGCAAACATAGGTATCAGTACCATCTGTACACATTAGCTGAAGGTGTGAAACACTTCAACTATGCTGCCACAAAATATAATAAAAGACATAGGAAAAAGCCAGATACTGAACATAATAGGATGCAAAGAAACAGGTAACACACAAAATAGTAACATGTTGTGCGTCCAGGGAGAGAGATCTGCGTTGGAGGGGGAAGATAGGCAGGATGGAGAGGGACAAGAATACCCGCAACAGAAACGTCAGTGAGTTTGGCCCGTTGCAGTGTAAACTGATGCATCGTAACAGACGTATTCATACTATGTCGGACCCCAGCCAGGCAGCCGGGAGACACAAACCGATGCCCAGTTCGAAGTGGTGGAATTTATCCATCTAGACCAAGTCATCGTTTGGCCTCACAGGCTCTTCTTACATTCGCGTTGTGGAAGTCGGAGGGCTGGCATGCGCAACACGTGTCCTAGCCATGAAGGCCACCGTGTTATAACGGTGCTGTGCGGTTCACTCGCTCTTTCTGCACCAAATACTCGACGCGTAGAACGCTCAATGCTCACATGGTGCTGCCACCAGACATGAGCTAAGCTGCGGATGCGGCGATGATCAAGCATAACAAACCTCCATACGTCTGCAGATTTGATGTACCAAGTTGGGCAACCCTCCTATACGGAGGGTTGAAAGGAAGGCTGCGTTATAAACTCTGCCCTTCAGAGCGAGTGGGGTCGCACGGGCCCCACAGGTGGCGGGGATTAAAAAAAGCGCCTCGAACTTATGCTATGCGGTTTGCATTCTCACCGTCCATTCCACTGATGCTGGTATAGTTGCATAGATACTTGAATTTCCCGCTGACTTCCAGCTGATAACCATCCGGGTATAATTATTCAAAAGCTTTATTTATTGTCTCTGAGTAAATAGTTCGACTTTCAGCCCCGGAATGTCTTTGGCCTGTCTAGATACATTCCATCTCATCTAAATTTTGGAAGGCAACAGCCTACTTTCTTCTAGTCGATACGCAACAAACCGTTTTGAGTGCCACTTTTTCCCTTGCAGCGAGTGGCCAATTCTTACCCAAAACATCTACTGTCACATATCTGGGGGTCTTTGAATCCTTAAACCTATATTGATCTAATGGCATCGCCAAAAAGTTTTACAATGTAAAAAGCTACGTTTTCAAGTCAGCACATGTAAAATGCTTTCAGTAACATGCGACATGACGTCTAACTATGTGACTGCATGCATTCTGCCCCATCGGTTACATCATGTCCTCATAATTTTCTATGGTCTACTTAAGAAAAGAATAAACATTGATTGCACGGTCGTTAAGATATGTTTTAAAATGCAAAAGGTTGTTCAGAGAAAACCAAGTTGATCATTTTTCTGCAAACAGGTAGACGATTTTACAAGTTTTTCTTTTAAAGTTCTAAACGACCCATCCTGATAACTACATGGTGATCTGTCAAAACGATTTCTAGTTTTTCCAAATGATCTAAATCTAGAGGTAAATTTTCTCGTACTGTATCTTACCACAATTATATACGACCGTATTTGTCACTATTACTTGTTGACCTAACGAAAGTCATCAGTTGTTTGCCTGTGTGATACGAGTATACTTTTGCCACTAGACAATACGTTTTATACATCAATTTATCCTATTTCCGCATTCACAATGTTAGGGTAAAATGTTGCAAATGTACGTGCCCGGGTGCATAATGCTTATCTTTACACTTACTTGACTTTGGCCGCTATAGCTTAGCAATAGTTAAGATATCATTACACGCCATAGTTATATGTGGAAAATACGTCAGCGCGCCCCAGCTGAGCTATCAGCAACGGATGGGCCTCGTCCCGGAAAGCCACTAGTCGGCTATTATGTAGGAAAAAGACAATTTTGTCAAGCAAGTTTGTATTATGCTAAGGAAGAAGGTTGTCGTTGGAAGAGGAGGATAAGAGGGATGGGGAGGGACAAAGTAACTACAACACGAATGTCAATGAGGTGGGTTCTTAGCTTTTACAACAAGTATATTAATCCCAACGCGTTCATCGTCTTTCGGACCCCAACCAGGAAGCAGAGAGGCTCCAACCGAGGTCAGCCTCGAAGTAAGGGCCCTACTTTCTCTCAACCAAGTCATCGCTTAGTCACGCCTCTTCTTGCATCCACATCCCCTACGTGCAAACAACGCACGTCGCGGCAGTCGGTGGGCTGGCATGCGCAACACATGAACAATGATTTAGCACGGGTAAAATAGCAAGTACTTGACAAGTCCCGTAGGATGGTGAAAGTAAAAATTAAATTCGAATGGGTCAAGTAAGAAGTAAATCATCATTTTAACCGTCAACTGATTTAAATACACTATTGAATAACGGTAGTTTGGAATGGGCATGGGTTGTGCAGACACATAATAGTATAGAGAGCTAGTATAGTTCAGTAAGTGCGTGAGAAAGAAAAAGGAAGCGACAACGTCCACTCGCTTGTTTCTTCATTTGATGTGTTATGTCAATCCAGTTTAGATACATCCATGCTACTCACAAGGACACTTCTGCATGTATCCTCACCGCCAGGTTGCAGAGAGGGCCGTTAGGCACATGGTTTGGTTTGCGTTATTTCGTCCTCCGAGTGAAACAAACTACATCAAATAATGCAAGTTGGAAAGCGTGTCAGCAGGACGTTTTCTGAATAGAGTTAAGAGTAAGGATAAGGTGATTTGGAAGGGAGTTCCAGACACGGGACTGACGGAGAGAGAAAACATTCCGCCGACAGTCAAATCGATTGTAGTGCGTAGCCAGTTTGAACTGATGGCGTCTCAGGTTGGTATTTTGGCTCAGCTGAAACAGACTGCGACATGGGGGGAGTTGGATTCGTCAGTATTAAGTAAACCATGATGTGATCTTTTCGTTGACCTCGATATTCACCACTGTTCGAATTTAGGAACTGCAGTCTGTGCTGGTAGGAGAGATGAAACAAATCCTCAAAAAAGTTTGGTTGCTCTATGTTGTGGAGCTTCAAGTGCGTTGATGTCGCGCTTGAGCCAAAGGGACGTCAGGCCTGGATCGCATATTCCACGTGGCTGAGTCATCGAAGCTTGTTGCATGAAATAACGGAGCAGAGCGGTTCATTTCCTTTTCTTGTGCTATAAACAAGGCGTCGAACAAGCTCGCTGCTCATGCGGTGTTCCCACGAAGGCGTAGTGAAACCTGGTTTTATGTGGTGGTGTTGTTATCATTACGATACGAGAGACTGCCACAGCCTGAGACTGAAAATTCTAAAACAAACTACTGTATCCGTTTAGCATTTGGCAATACAAACCTGACCTTTTTAGATCCCGACATTACGGATGGGATGGAAGTGTGGTAAGTAATTGTCGTGAAGTTTCTATTTTGTGTGAGGAGAGGCATGCTGTCTTGTACTCTTTCCTACCGTGTTACGTGTGGCTGTGCTAGAGGTAAGCACTGAGGAAGCACATACTCAATGATATTAGTGCCCTAAGTTGTTGAAATGATAGCTAATATGGATAGACGACTACTTTTAATCCACTTTAGATGAACCATCATAGGGAATATTGTGTTAGTGTCTCGTCAGGCCTATTGCGATATCTATATTGGTCCATTCACCGGAAACCGGTGTGGGATGTAGGGGCTGCACCCTCCAGCTGTGACAGATATTTGAAGTAACTGCACTCCGCTGAACCGAGACATTGCACACTGACTCTGCTCTTCTCCATGGTTGATGATCGACAGATGGGTAATGCCGGTTACCGATCAAGCCACAATATCCACCATTAAACATCTTAATGCGTAGGTACTCTCAATGTAATGCTTATCGCAGGGGACCACTGTCTTCGATAATGGTCGTAAAACTATGTGAAAATAATCGGTGGGGGGGCGGCTTTATTTCATTTGCTTACTGCATCTGGTGCGAGTTGGGTCAGTGATAGCCAGACTGGAATACACTCCGATCGGTATTTTTTTAAACACAAATTTACAGTTCGGCAAATGTTGGAACAGCTACAAGTTATGGACAGCCCCTCAAAGTAGCAGCTCTTATATGGAACTAAGGTCCATCTAGGTTGTGATGATGCATATCCTGGTAGCACTTGTCCGGCCAACTACGGTATAATTTGATTTTTCACCGTTGTGAAATTTAAGAGACCAATCGTGTTTCCGTAGAGAGACGAGGTGCACTACTATTGATTCACATTCCCTTTCATCTTCTCAACTTTGTGATCCGAATGAGCCCAACACTATCCCATTTGCTTACCAACGGACAGACAGACAGAAGTGCACCACCTGGTAGTGGATGAATCAATGTTGCACATTCGGTAGACCAATTATCATTTATAGACATCACAGAACGTCCGCTTGAAGAGATAGGTCGGTTCACATGCTTCGGTAGTTGCCATTTATGGTGATCACATCACTTAAGGACTGCAACAGACTTGATTGCATTGTCAAGGTCTTAGTCATCATCTAGCAAAATGAAATGGTCAAGGTATTGGAGAAGTTGGTCAGGGATGTGCTTGAAAATCATCTGCGGGTGTTTGGTCGGCTCAGTCCACTTCAACACGGCTTTCGCAAGGGTCACTCCTGCATGAGTAATTTGCTAGTTACACGCGAATGCTTTGGATCAGGGTCATGCAGTAGATGTAGTGTTTATTGACTTCTCCAAGGTGTTCGAAACTGCATCACATTCTCGCCTCTCCTTGAAGCGTCGGTCCAATGGAATATCAGGGCGTACAATACAATGGATCACCACGTTTCTGGAAGGGAGAGTGATGTGTGTTCGTGTGGGGTCTAGTCTGTCTTTTCGTCAGTCAGTCCTCAGTGGGGTCCTTTATGGTTCAGTACTTCGCTTATCGTTATTTCCTCTGTATGTCAATGAGATGCCCGAATTGCTGGGGGGTACCATCTCTCATGTTTGCAAATGACCTAAAGTTTTGCCACAGTGTCCGACCTCGATGGACCCCAGACTCTGCAACGGGTCCTCGATAAACTTTGGGACTGGGCTGCTCTGTGGCAGTTGCTTATAAATTATGCAAAGTGCTCCATCTTAGGATTAGGGCCAAATGGACCCCAAACGCGTTACCTGCTTGACGGGAATGAACTACACTATGTTTCCAAACTGTTAGACCTAGGAATCACGTTGTCTTCAGAACTTAAATCCAGTGAGAACTGGGGGAAAGATACGTGCAATGGTTTCAGCATGTTGTGGATGATCCGCAGGGCATTCGATACTATCAAGGGAGGTTCGTTTGTTAGGTTATTCTCAGTCTTTGTCAAGCCACACTTGGAATACTGCATCCAGACTTGTCCGCCTTGCTTAGTCAGGGATAAGATATCAGTGGGGAGATTGTTGAGAGTTGGAACCAAAATGGTTCATGGACTATGGAACCTTTCTTACCCAGAAGCACTACTTGAGCTGGAAATGTCTTCAATGCATTATCGTCGCCATCGAGGCGACCTGGTCTCGACCTATCGCATACGTACCGATAAAATCAGACCCGATTTACCTGGGCTTTTCCAGCCGGCTCGGCTTCTATCTCTCAAAGGTCACTGGATGAAACTACACAGACCTCGATTGGATGGAGTCATGGCAGACTTTCGTTTATCACGCCGAGTGGTGGATTCCTGGAATGTACTGCCCGAGAACGTGGTATTGGTACCAACGGTGAAAGAGTTCGGACACCAACTTGAAGCGCTTAGCCTTCAATTCTAGACATGCCCCTTCACGTCCTAGCTTATTCGCCTTAGTGAATTATTAAATCTATTACTTTTTGCTTCTTGACGCACTTATTACTTTTGCAATTCTGTTTCTTATTTCACGTGACCGGTGCGCCGGGGACAGCCAATGCAGTTCGCGTGGGTAGTAGTTAAATGACCGTGGTGCGATTCGCGCACGCGGATCTGACTCTTCTGGATTCCAGTTAACGCGGACGAATAAGACCCTGGATCAACGACGCGCCAAGGAAGGAATATCCACGGGGATTTACCCTACTGTTCCAGTCCCACTTGAAGCTGAACTTGAAATAGCATGTTGGCAGTTAACTACAGAGTATACAGGTTGTTTCTCACTGTTGGTTTGTGTGGGCCAGACGTATTGTTGCTTCGAGTCAATGAAGACAACTATGAGACTGATCGTTTTTAGTCACCGTGGCTTGTGGTATATGGAATCTCTGATGTCTTAAATGAGTGATACTGAAGCCTACCGGCCGGAGCATGGAACATAAAGTTGCAGTGCATCAGAGTACCCTTTGAATATGAAAAACTTAGGTTGTCTAGACCATACCTGGCGCATGCCTGTGGTGTTCAGTTATGCGCTCTGGCTGTACCCAGTTGGCTGTAACCAAGAAGCGGCCAGTCACGGAAACGGAACAAGAGCATGAGGAAGATGACTGACAGACTTGGTCAAGCAGGTACGTACTTTTTACGTTGACAGAGTTTCGGAATGAGCTACGTTTGTGTCTGCAGTGTTTAGCCAGCGTGGGATTCATGAACCGCTCAACTTGGGTCACTGGCATGAAGCGTTGCATTTATGCATTTATTTATATCTGTGGTTGGATGAGCGTACTTGCTTTTCCTAAAGAAATAAATAGACATATATTCCTCACCGTTTTAGGTTGCGCTTCCTTGTGGCTCTACCACCATGCAGATTCGTTTGTACACGCATAACCATTAGTCTCAAAAAAGCTAGCTAACAAACTGAACAGGATTTTTCAACAAGTAAGTAGGAGCCCGTTGCAAACTAATGTCCAACTTCTCTTTGTCCGGTGTACGGAAGTTACTTCAAACCTGAAGTGGTAAGAGAATCATTTTACGTGTGCGGCTGCTGAGCAGAAAATTAATACATAAAATAAATAAATACCCTTTTAGAACGCCACAATGCATGGGAAATTTTTAAATCCTATATTATATGCTACATCTCATACGGTCGGTTTTCGATTTTAATGTTTCTCTTCCCCCACAAAAGTGTTCTACATCTATCAACCGAAGAAAAGAAGCAAATTTGGATCCGTCCGTATACAGGACTTTTCGTAATGAGGCCACAAAGTATTCTATGCTCATTCGAACCGTCAATGTTTAAAAGGTATTTTATTTCAGCCCGACATTTTCACTATACTGTTGATACTATAGGAAGTAGCTGTAAAACTCATTTAGCAAACCGAAAAAGGCAAGTCTCGTTACCCCTCGAATATTCATTAGTATTTTTATTATTAACCGAAATGGTATCGTTAAGGGGATCACCCCTGCCCAATGCTTAGAGATAAAAAAGGATATCACCGGAGAGATCCATTTCTATCACACAAAGCGAATTTTTTGACTCCACCCCCTTTACTCAATGGAACACAATGTTTTCAATGTTCGATGGAGTGTAGAACTCTCAACTCTGCACGAGTATAAAACCGGTGCGCAAAGAACTGTTGTTCTCCGAGGAAAGAATGTGGTGTCCAGTATCATCTCTGTATTGAAAGAGCAAATGACCGCATATTTAACTGATTGCTTGTTAAGCACCTCAACGACAGGCTGTTGAATGGAAACAGAAATTGATGACACTTACCTGTAATACGCTCCGTGCTGGAATGTCATTCACTCGTGCTAAATGTGGGTTGGTCAAGCCAGCACGACCGAAGGAGGGGGTTTGTCCAGTTTGCGTAGAGGTGCGGTGGTCAAGTGTGCCATACTGTTGAATTCCATTGGGAGAATATGCCAAACGCTTTTCAACATTTCCCATACGATTTGCCAACTCCTCGGCCAGCTGCTCAGTGTCTGCTTTTTCTTGCTGTAGTTCAGGGGAAAGACATACCGCCGCAATTAGTATTAATGACATTATTTGTTAGTAGGCTGTACCCATTTTTAGGAGCATGAGACAGTCCAACTGATTCTGCAGTTCATTAGGAGACGTTGGAGGAACGCGGTCAGGAAAGATAGAAAATTTTAGCTTGTAAGTGTTGCAGTTGGACATTTAATACTGCCTACTGGCTATCGTATGTAATTCGATAGGCATAATTTTTTGATCAGTTGCCTGACTGCAGTAATGGCATAAGTCGATTGACTGACGGCAGATTTCCCATGGTCTTTCTAAAGGATGTAACGGAGCTCTTGATATGGGACACAAGCCGCTAAGCTGTTCAACTGTGCGTGCTTCTTCCCCCTATTGAAAGATTCACAACTACAAGCCACACGAATATAAGTATGCATAGCCTGCATTGGGAATTGTAAACTCTAGGAAGGATAACATATCATAACGTCAATATCGGGGTTGAATTAAGCCAATCCTCTAGTCCACAACCTTATGGTTAGTTTGACACTTATCTAGACTTAGAGCAGTTATAATTAGAAGTAAAGAATCCTCATACTCATTAGTAGTATTTCGCAACTATCTAGACGCTGCAGCACTATTATGGTTTCCAGAAATACCACCAGTTTTAACCACGGTTACAACTGCTCCTCAGCCCGTGACCCTGATAACTGCAACATTTTACACGTCACTTTAGTGTTCCATAGATGTCTTCCTTGTAAGTCCTTCTCCGTCTGTCATCCCTATTCGTAGATTCCAAACTCTTCCCTTCTTGGGTTGCTTGATTTGATAAGTTTACCTCCTTCAGACATTCTGACACTTGCGGTTGTTTGTGTTCTGCTTACTATGTTGAACCATTCACCAGTGGATGTTCGTTTACTAGTGCAGGCATTCTCAACCTTTATTTAGCCGTGACACACTTTTGAACCTTTCCATTCATCATGGCCCCCAGCCTTGATCACTACAATTGCAGCAATAAGCAACGCCTAACAGATGTAAGTATGGGGTTTTCAGTATCGGTAGCTATTTTTATGATGGTTAACTTTTTATTTGGTATAGCTGCTGTTTGCCTCGTAAACCTCACCTTTTAAATTTCACAGATTCAAGACAACATTCATAGTGTGGCGACATCAACTTACTTGTCTGTAATTACACAAAAGTCTATTGATATTTAATATTGTGTTTAATCGTTGTTCGCATTTGACTATAAAGCATAACTGCGGAAATGTAGTAAATTCGCAACAATATGTCTGAAGTGCTATCAATGTGAGCCTTGGATCTGATCTCCTTGAACAAAATGCCCATGCCAGGCTCCAGACTTGACAACGAGACACAGATATCTCCTATTTCTGTGATGTACAATCTGTTTCCACCTTTGGTTAGAGGATCCACTCTACGAAATCCACACTTAACCAAGTATGTGGATGGGAAAGCAAGGAAATATCTATAGTTTAGCTACTTCCCAGTCCGGGATAATTGTTAGGCGAAACAGTCTTTATCCGAAAATTCATTTTATATTGCGTGAATTTGGATTATCATAGTGTGTTAATTTGAAAATTTCTGAAAATTTCCTGGATTATAACTCCAACATCGCAGGGTTGTAAAGCAAATGTATGTAAAATACAAAGCAGGTTTTCCATGTCAATCAGGTAATGAAAGGTATCTTTCATTTCTTTTCGGAATTGCTGAAAATGACTGGTATAAACCATCAAGTCGTCATCTTTCAGCTCCTTTGTGACTGTCATGAGAATTAAAAACTGAAAATTCTCGACCTGCAATATTTTGAGTATACTTTTCCAGCTTTTTAATAAAAGTGATAATAGCTTCCTTACTCGAAATGAGATTACACAACTGGACTTAAAGATTTCTATTTAAAAAATTGAGTTTTTCAAACGTCAGCCAGGTCAAACACTGCTGGCTTAGCTGTTAATACTATCCCTTCATAATTCCAAGAAGAAATGTGATGATGGTGTCCCCGAAGTGCAACAAAACGGCGAAGACAGCGGCTCATGGAGAGCCATGTAACTTCTGTATGCGACAGTAAAATCTGAAAATCTTCACTGTTCTCCTCACTCCAATGCTGAACAAGACGATCTGGAAGAGGGTGCGATTAAATGTTGTTGACAATTGTCATTACAGTTGATAGCGAATCGTTTAAGCGCCGTCACAAGTTCTTAGCCACTTGTTGCACTCAGTGAACCACACAGGGAATTGGATGAACAGAAGAAAGAATATTTTTTCAGATTGGCAATAAATCCTTTACATCTTCCGACCATTGCGGCAGCACCATCTGTTGCACATGCAACTAACTTATAGGTTGGAATGGAATTTTCAGTCACATAGCTATTGACTACCACAAATATAGACTGGCACATTGTATAAGTTTTAATTCTCCTGGCAAACAGTAGCACTTCCATTAATTCATTATCGTTAAAGAATCGGACAGATGCCACGAGAACAGCGCCGTTATCAGGTGAAGTAGATTCATCTAATTAGCGAAAGCTTGGTGAACTGAAATAAAGTAAATAAGATACCTTCTATGTCCTAAGCCATCTCATCTACTAACTGAGCGGAATGATTGATCTGTTTCTTGTGGATTCATATCCATCAGGTCAGACAGTATTAAAGATTTATTGAAGGCAAGATAATATTTTCTCCAACATTATGTGGGCTGCGATATATGACAATCAACTTGCTGGTTTTATAAGACGTAACTCAATTCGCCTTCTTTTGCCCTGCTAGAAACCACTGCCTTTAAAATTGCTCTGTTTTCGAAACTATCACGCAGCTGTTTGAAAAGTTCCACCTATTTTCCGTTGTAGTCCTTATGAACACTTTTCAAATGATATTCAAGTATACTTGGCCTCATATTTCCTTTGAAATAGTGCTTTGGGAATTGAACACACGTAGAGTAAGGTATTGAGGAGATTCGATAAATCCAATTGACAGATATTCCACCGAATACTGCCGAAACATATTCTTTGCCGAAGAGTATCTCGGAAATATGTCATTGCGAACTGCTACTTTGTAATATAATATACGGATGTTGAAGTTTCGCTACCGGGCATGTCACTGATCCGGAACGATAGCCTCACAAAAGGAGGAGGGGTAATCCCGTATTACCGAAGCGACTTACAGTGCGAAGCCGTGGAGGAATCAGATTCGCAGTTCCCCGACTCTCTGGTGCCACTTGCAGTTAAAAGGCAGGGAGGCTTGCCTTATTGTCTTGGTGCACCGCCCCCCTAACTCTACACCCAAAACCGACTACCACTAGCGGCTGCTTAAGGATGCAGTTTACAACGAAAGAACACTCAGATACATAGCATGGGTGATTTCAACGTACATTGTTTGGAAACTCCTGTCACGCTCAGAGAACAATTCGTAACTACTGTTCCTCTTTACAATCACACCACTTTGCCTACTCGGTTCAGAACAGGTAACAGATAATATGTGCGGGATCTTTTGCTTACCAATGAGGAGCATATGGTATTAGACCGCCTATTGGGTCGCAGTGATCACGCAGTCATCAGTTTCAACCTCGTCTGCTATGTGGAATATCGGAATGAGAACAGTGGGACTGTGCGAACCATCACAAGCGACGATCGATTAGCGCACCTGCTCAGCGCTACAACTTGGTTGTTCCTTGCCGAAGAACCCCCGGAAATCGCCTCGGTCGATTTTGTCAACAAATTCAGGCAGCAGATTGCAGAGGCTTGGGAAATAAAAGCTTGCAATAAATGAACATCAGTTTCCTTCGTTGGGAGCAGAACTAGAAGATGGATGACAATACGCAACGCAGCATGGCGAGTGTACAGAGAAACTCCAGCACCAGAAACTTGGGACAACTACGTAGACCAACTTAACCACTGCACACAACTGCTAAGAGAAGACAAGACCACCTATCAGCAGAACATCGCAAAAGCCTACAGTGTTAACCACAAACTGCTGTAGAAACAGCTCGATAGCCTACTAAAGGTACGGAAAGTATTTCCTGCACTCAGGATGGCTGATGGCCCAACAAGAACCGCTGTGGAAGCATCAAAGGCGCTGCAGATGCAACATGCCTCCACGTTTCAGTGGTTCTTGCCACCAAGCGATCTTCCAACTTTTGTCGTTCCTAGCCAGGACTAAACCACATCACTTACACCGCGGAAGCTGTACTGCAAGAGCTGACGTCTCTACGTAAACACAACTCGCCGGATGTCCATATCATTTGTCCAGAGACAGTGGAAGCAGCAGCAAGCCAACTGGCAGGACCTTTGGCTCAGTTTTTCCAGCGCTGCTTAGACCAGCGCAGTTCCTGCTATGTGGAAGCTTGGAATAATAACCCTGATTTACAAAGGTGGAAGCAGAAATGATCCCGCCAACTACCACCTAGTATCCCTTCTTCCTATACTCTCCAAACTCATGGAATCCATAGTTGCCGATGCACTGGTGCGCTATCTGGGAAACCGTAACACCATCACAGCTGAGTAGCACGGTGTCCGTCGACAGCGGTCAAGTACAACGAACGTAATGATCGCACGCAGTAGTCGCACTGAGTCAGCTGACGGTGGAGAAGGCGCTGATGTGATCTACCTGGATTTTTCCAAGGGTTTCGATGGTCTAGACCATCGGATACTACTCTCCAAGCTCCAGCATTACGGGATCGGCGACCTGTTAAGCTGGATTGCCAACTTTATACTTCAACGGCACTTAGTGGTCAGAGTTCGGAGCTCTTTATTGGACCCCATAAAAGTCGAGAGTGGTGTGCCGCAAGGCCCAGTTCTAGGTTCACGTTTGATTTGGTGTTTAATGATGACATTGCACATGGAATGGCTGCAAGCTTTCTAATGTTTGCTGACGATATCAAAATCTGACGCAGGTTCCAGGTGAACGCCGACCAACATGTGCTTCCGAGTGACCTAGAACACTATATTTGCGTTAAATTGCATGCATGTCTCCTGAGTGGAGATTAACAACAATTTGCCGCGAAGGGGCGA